GCTGTCCTGTTGCACGCGTTCGCTGACTCTACAAACGTCCCCTTTTCCCATAATATACAAGTTGAAAAGGTTCTGACAAGGTAAAAATGGTAGAAGGGAGCTCACTGATCGCTCCTACTGAACTCACTTGTCCCGTTGTGTTTTAAGGGCTCAGCGGCGCATGATATAGGCAGAATGTTATTACCGACAAAGACAAGGGAGACTGGAATTGCCATTTCTGACTTATTAGACGTCGTCAGGCAGTCATACCCAACCCCAAAGTGTGGAGCACTCGAGGCTCGAACTCGCGACCGGTTATTTCGAAGTCCAACGCCTATAACTACTTGGTCACGGTAAAAGAATGCCCTACCAAAGGGTGCCTGCTGTCTCTCCTCCTTTCAAACATAAACAGTGACGAGCAACTTGTGCACAGAGCTCTCACACTTCAAAACACCTAAGGGGACGGCGGATTTGGGTGCGCGTGGTTACTTGAATTGTACATAGAAGCGTTAATAGATACATTATATTCCTAATTCATCGGGCTTTATCTATGTCTTCGAAACAACAATTTAAGGAATATGATGGTTTTCTAGCCTGCTCGAATAATAAAAACAATTGTTTGTGGCATCAGTAGAGATGAAGTAGTCAAAATATGCAAATGCCGTCCTCTCCGTTCCAAATTACTTAGGGAAGCGAGTCGTTAGAAGATCCTGCAGGCTCCAATATCACTATTAGCTTAGTTGGGAAGTCCCTTGCTACTTTTATTAGCTTTAAGTCCATTTTCAATCTCTGACTTCCTCATCACGCTTCTCAGTTTTGTTTCTCCATAACACCACCGATAAACTAAAAGAGAACCCGATTTATCTCATTCAGAAGTGCCACATTAACTTTCTTTCATTCGAAAGTTAGAAATAGCAGTGAAATTTACTGCTGAGTATGCTAAACCAAAACCATCTGTTTATACGACAAAATCTTAAAAACACACTTATCGGACATTCATATTGACCCATGTAAAAAATCGGCGCTTTAGTGAGATTCGAACCCACGATATCAGAAAAAGGCTCTAGAACGACCAGCGCTCTAACCACCTGAGCTAAGAGGCCGCACCGGACCCAAATGTGATTAAACTCACGTCCTCCGGTGCAGCCTCGTACCTCAGGTGGTTAGAGCGCTGGCCGTACTTAAGCCTTCCACCTGCTCTCGTGGGTTCAAACTCCACCGCGGCGTCGCGTTTTCATAGTCGGGTCAATCTGAATTATCCAAAATCCAACCAAACATCTACAAATGTTCCTACTTTTTTATTAATCGTAGAAATACGTGCGTTAAAATTCAGTTAATGTCTCCGGAGAAATTTTTACAGGTTAGGACCGAAAGTTGCTAGAAATATTTCGGTCGAAGTCCATCATCTGCAGTGTGATAACTATATAATATTTCCACGAATTAGCGAAACTCTTAAAGCAGTGTCCTACAGAGGCCCAAAATTGGCAAAACACGTGTCAACGCTCTTAGCTAAAACGCAGGCTGTCACGATGCAGAGTCATATAACATTGATCTCCCTCTCTATTAAAAGGGGGTAGTTTTCTAATGTACGTAAGTGCCAAACTAAAAAAATGCATATGTTGCATTAACATATCGCCAATATGAATATTAGCTGGATATCAGAATGGGGGATTTTTTGGACTTTTCATCACTTCCGATACAATGAAAAGGGTTTTGGTCAATCTAGTTTTATCCGAGCTGCTTTCGCATCGTACCTCCTTTTTTCAAATTAAAACGAAAATATGGGAGCGTAAATTAACGCAAAATTGGATGAAAATCGCTGATACTTGTGTTCGTGCTTCTTACAATTTGACGATATTGTCACACGTCCCTGCTGAGTACATAGTATTTTACCCTATGAACTCCGGCAGTAACCAGATCAAGTTTCTGCATATAAGCAAGGGTAGTGTTTGTGTCCGGGGCTATTTTCTTCGGGAGTCATTTTCGTTAACCAAAAGAGTTGAACATCCAAGAAATTTGTGGTATCACAAAATTTGATCCGCTATACTGTCATCAAAAGTAAGTGGAAACCAATTCCTCCATTTTATGATAGCAGTAAAGTAATTTTACGGCCTTTTGAAAACATTCTCAAAAAGGTATTGCACTGCCGTATTTTTAGTCCGATGATCATTTTAAAGCATCCTGACCACCTTTACACAACAATCACCGTGGCGTCTTTTTATTTCTTTTACTGGCAGATACAAATAATTGTCGTCAGTTATTTTTTTAGCCCATTTGCTCCCCCAAGTAAGTAACCCCGGCCATAAGCCATTCTCTTGCTCATATCAATTCTAGGGTTTGTCCTGAGATTCCCTGTCTTCAATACCTCACCTTCATTTGTTCCAGAAGGGTCAATCAGGTCTAGCTATAAAGAGTGTACCGTCTCGAACTGGTGGTAGCAGATCGTATTTAAGGATGGGTTACTTAAAAATTAAATTTCGCAAATGTAAATCGATTGGTGAATTTTATAAAGACTAAACAGAACGATCTTCCCCTAATTTCTTATATTTTCGGTGCGGAAAACCGAAATTAATGTTTTTAAAAGAAAACATCGAATCGTATTTTGCCCCTCCAGCATATTCCCCTTTGATTTCTACCCCATAAAAGTAAAAGCCACGTGCATATTTCCTTTTGCCGACGGTTCTTCCTGCCTAAGTTGTGTATATCAGTTGTAAAAAACATTCATACGTACGCACATAGGTACAGGAGTTTCAAACGCCATGAAATATTACGTGAATTAGTCAGATACAATAGTGACAGTAAAACGCTTGTAAACTTGATTAGACCAAAACGCAATTCCCTTCGAATTAATGAATGTCAGCACGCTAAATTTTAAATGGAACGCTTGTAAATAGCATTCGCCTTATGCGCTGAAAAACAATCTCTGTGACGATAACGCAGGTGTTTCTACTTATTTGTAGATGTATTATTAGGCCTAACCCGAAAATTATTTGAATATTTGCTTGCAGATTCACATTTTATAAAATTGTGCTATAATGCAACATTGCATTCAAGAACCCTATGTCTTATTTGAACGGTTTGCATTTATTTGTTTTGGTTCAGCTTGTTTTCATGAGCCGCAGACTACACATTGCATATTTATAAGCAATAATAACATTCCGGCGCCCACTCTGAATTACTTTCAAAATAACCTATGTACACTTTCCTGCAACCACATGGCATTACGCCTACTTTATTATTATGAGGCAATTCGGTCTAATTAAATATGGTCACCCTGATCTTCGCTCACACACATCGCGAACAAAGATGCCTTTAAGATAATCAGTAAGTTTCTTTTACGTGTCCAACATTTGCAGAACAGGAATAGCATCGTCTTTGTTTTATCACTTGTGTTTGCTACCTCAACCTTTTTTCCGATGACTTATTTTTTAAAACTAATGTTTGTCCTCATCGCCTGACAGTACCACTTACACATGCATCTGTTCGTCCGACATACTGGCCAAAATCTTATATTTTGCAAATACTTTACCGGCTTTCCTTATTCTAAAATACTTCTCCGCGAAAGCTTTAAATTACACTGAAAAATTGAATGCTTGTTAAAGGCCACCACTTAAGCATGTCAAGATCTTCACATTTCAACGGTTGATATCTGTATTTTGTTTGAATTTCTTAAATTTCACTAGCCACAGGGATTCAAACTTTTGTTCCACAAAACATTTGCGGCAATTATTTTCATACTTAGATGCGTTTAAAGTATGTTTTCATTAAACTTTCTTTGTGACCTATACCATGTATTTTTATTTCCCATTTACCTCATTTTTGTGAGTATGAACAAACTCTCACAACTTCTGACGTCTGTCTGGCAAAACAAGTAAAACATACTCACGGAGAGGGGAGGTGAATAAGTGGTAATTAACTTCAAAACAGCTTAGTCAAAGATCTCGAGGTCGCTTAAACTCAAGCATATGCACTTGCACGCCTCGGATAACCTAAGCACCAACTCGGCAATTCTTGTCGGTAAGACAAAGTTTGAAACAAAGGAAATATGCAATTGAGTAGTACAGACACTCACTTTGAGATATTAAATAGAAGATTTGGCAAACTAACCCGGGTGTGAAAGGGCAGCTTTTAATTTTTAATTTTAGTTTTATCACATAAGTCTCACTGTTCGTGCTTTTTTATCCGTTTTGAGCGACCCTGTGCCCGACGTGGGCCATAATTGAGAATAAAAAGGTTTTGCAAGCTGCATGTAAGTACCTTAAAACATGTTTAGGATTATAATGAATACACAACCTACATTAGGGTCAGAAACCATGAGAAATAGTCGATATGTCAGTGTACTACACACAATAATACCAAAAATCTAAGATCGAATTGAACGCCATTTAACAAAAAAATTGTTTTATTGCTATCAGATGTATTTGCGTCTAGTTAAAATTGTTATATTGGTGCGGTTTTTAAGTATATTGCACAGTCGCGATTATGCTACGGTACATATATATATATATGTGAACATGGTTTCCTATTCAGATTTTTAAACAAAGTAAAGTAAAATAAAATTGTTTGTTTGTGAGTGAGCTCACAAGACGGACAGCATCTTAGGGTCACTGTATGTATGTAACTGTTGAAATGTCCAAATGAACTGCCTAACATGATAATCTAACATCTGCACTGCAAAATGTATTACTCTTCAAGAGTCGACTGGACGCTTTCTAGAACATTTAACTTGCACCTACAATTCCATAATTTTAAAATCCATCCACATCCCCAGTTAGCTGAGTATAACACGACACGGAAAACACTAAAGCCCTTTTTTGAACAAAGAAGTCAAAGCATACTGCAAAGTCCTTCATTTCGACGCATTGGCAACAAATAAATATAAGATAACATTTTTAAAAGTTTTTAAGAGAAGCATGCAAACAGGCTTATTCAAACTCGTTGTCACTTTTTTAGACAAGAAACATCAAAGCAAACTTCTCGTTTTCCGGATTTGATTAAAAACAGCACCGCCGGTATTTCCGTTAGGCTAACTCCGTTTGCGGCCTAAGAGCGAAATGAAAAACAAAACCTGTCAATGAGCCGAAGGAGCACCAAAAAATCATCTAATATTTACCTCTCGATTAAGTTGTTCGAGGAACGTCTTTGGTTGGCTGTCACCGTACTTTAAAACAAAAGTTTACAATTAACACCATTCATCATCATGTGAACGTGAGTATCTCCACGACCACCTGCAGCGAAGTGTTTAAGGAGGTACTGACTCATTATCTTGCAAAAAAATTCTGGCCTAAACCCTGTGTGTAATCTGCATGTACGTGCGGATGTTCAATTACATTTACATCTTCGTTAGTTATAAAAATATTCAAATCCGGACGAAGTTTATTTAAATGCCTGTCGAACCTTTCCTTTGCTATGTGGCCGCCTGCTAATGAGGTACAATATCACTGCGCTGAGATTCAGTGGAGGTTGGAATAAGCCCAATTTTCAGAAGTACAAATTTGATAAAATTATAATAACTATACGTAATTTTTACGACTGCGTTGTTGTTGATACATGCGAAAGGAGAGTTTCAAGTGGTAGAAGAGAGGAGGTAAGCTCAACTGACGGAACAAGAGCTATGTAAATTTGGCGTTTTGGAGTTTTTTTCAAACGCTTGATAGAGTAGGGGGAGACGGCAAACGCATTTTGGACGAAGGACTTCTACAATGCATACTTTTCACTATTAGCAGCTTTTGCCGGTATAGGGAGATAAGTGAATTTTTATACAGACTTATAAAGTATTTTTGAATACTAATCTGGGATGCAGTGATCGTATGTCCATTGTTCTGGCAAATAAACCTGTCTTTTTTAAATCTCCTAGTTTTCATAATGTCAGAAATTGCTCAGATAGAAATCGACGGTAAGTAAATAGTTTACATGATCTTTGGCATTTCTAGAGGACTGTCTAAGCTCATCAAAGTCAGAAAACGACTGACATTGGAAGTTTTATTTATTGACATGAACTTACAGGTACTTAGGTTGCCAATGCATTGTTCGTTTTCCGAGTCGAGCTTGGAAATTCCGGCCGCGTTTGCCCAGACGCGTCAAAAATCTCGGCCTTTTCGCCAATTCTAATATACTGTTCAAGAACTGCGGGTCATCCGCGACTTCATCAAGGTCGTAGAGTTCGTTTTCACCCAGAACCATTGACGATGAGATCTGCGGAAATTGGCTTAGCATAGCAATGGTTGCAATCAGAGGGAGGATTGGAAGGATGCGCCCAGGAAGTCGGAACTGGTTTTAAAATAAAAAAACACTCTCTCTTGTTTACTTGAATTTTTTTAATTACGAGGAAGCAACACTTACAAGTTGCGATTGAAGGACTGAATTTCTGCTGTAATTTTATTTGATTCAAGTTATAAAACATTTACAGTAGACTCATAGACAGTAACTCTTTTGCCTCATGCATGTATGGGTCGGGGGATTATTTCAAATTTCATTCAAAAAATTTACTAACACCCTATCGTGATGAGACCGTAAATCTGTCCCGTGTGGTTTTTGCTGAGTTGTGCGGCGTCTTTTTACGTAGAATTCTATTAATGTAGCCAAATTACTTTAAGCATAGGAAAACTCTGTTAAGGTCTGAAATCTTCTGCGTTTCAAGATAATTAAACCGAACCATACCAATTGAAAGCACAATACGTTTTCTACCTGACTGCGGATAAAGAAATGTCGCTTAACGCTGTTTTAGCTAAATAGACAACTTTCACCGTGCTATGCAGCATCGCTGAGGCACAAAATTCATTGAACCAAAGAGAATATCGAAGTCGACCGCCAGCACGTGTTTCGACTTACCCATCTCCAGTCTTTTACTCACTACACACACACTATTTCCATTCCATAAAATAAATCATAGGAGTTGTCCCCCCGTGCTAGTTCATAGCACCGCCCGTGAGTCTTCACGTTTCTGAGGGAAATTAAACATTTTGCTAACTGCTGAAACCATATATCGGGGAATATAAGCTTCCTCTTGTGTACGTCACAGTTCTCAGAAGACGTTTTTACTGAGAAATGTTCATTTTTAAAACAGAAGACGCGCAAGCAACCTCTTCTTTTTTCGGACAACGTTGGGAACAGCTTAACTCCATCAAATCCACCTATCTGGTTTTTTTACAAAATTAATTAATTGGCTGGAACTAAATTTGTGAATTCGTGATGAGAATAACTGGATGGTGGTTGTCTAGCGTGCTCTTTGTTCATCCTCGCATTACAACACACTGGAAGCCTGGTTGAAGACTGAGACTATAAAATGGCGCCGAATTGTTAATGAATGAATTTAAATGCATTGGAACATAAAACGTATTCCAGTTTTTATTACAAAATTATGTTCTCATCTTTTAAAACCGGTGTACTATTTTTGGAACGAAAACAAATGAATTATCTGAAGTAGTTAACTGATCCTCGGTTATCAGTAAACATTTGATAACTGGTTCTGTTCAAGCATCATAAACAGTAAGAAACAGTTTCAGTAGGCTAACATCCTAGATATCATCTAAAAATTGCGGCATATGGGAAATTTTGTATTAAACCTACAGCGCCCATGATAAATAAAGTGTTCGTCTATAACTGCAGACTCCTGCAACGAAGAGTGAGTATTTATAGGAATACGAACGTTTGGCCAGAAGCTGATTGGCCGTCGTCGACCAATTAATTGAGCAGCAAACGCCTCATGAAAGGAAAACATAAAGAATGGGGCGATTTAATTGAAATGTCATTGTCCAATAATCTAAAAATCGGAGAAGTTTCTGTTTTCGTGTAATTACTGAATTTTAAAAGCCAAGTGAAGCATGGTTATGCTTAGTAAAGCGTTTGAAACAGTCATTTTGTATGGATTTTTAGGCTCTGCGCAAGTGCAGATAGGATTACGAATATCGCGCACATATATAGTAAATTGAGGATCCTACAGCGCTTCGGCCGCTAGTGGCGATCTTTATCGAATTACTGTAGCTCTCCAGAAAAAGCCCTCATAGTGGCGTTGTGTGGACAATCTTCATTTCATTTAGCTCACTGGTGCCAGAAAAGCTTATAGATTTAGAGTCGAAACTGATGGTATTTTTGTTATCGTGCCAAAGTGGGGGACACTGGTTCGCGAATCTCAGGGGCCACTCGTTCATGGGGCTGCAAAAGGTCAGATGAAGAAGCAGTCGAAAAAAAATACAGTGAGTGACCGATTTCATGAAATGTTGGCTGAAATACTGAAATGTGTTTTCGATTAGGGAGGATTACTTAGGCGCAGTTGATATACTGATTATCATGCGGTATAGCCCTATAATATGTCGGATTTGGCAGGATATCAACATTTGAATACACTGCTTTTCAGCCTTCTGTGTAAACCATACCCAGTAAGAAATGACTACTAATGTAGCATGCATTTTCCGCGTTGGACTGTGTTGTACATCTCGTGGGGAGCAGTGGTAAACGGACAGGTACGATGTTCTATGCATGGACATTACATGGTCTTAAAAAATCTCATAATTGGAAACTTTTTAAAAACCTAGTTATACTACTTTTCTAGTAGTCCACATCCATTGCAAAATTTTAGGGACGCTATGTGATATCTTGTTAAAGGCAGAAAAGAATACTTGATTTTCTTTCCGCTGAACGCATGCACCTTGTAGACTGAAATCACCAAGCGTTAGTGCAATGGCTAATCAGGCTCTAAATTATTCATCAATCAGAAACTTTTTTAAAGCCTAATTAAACTCCTTTCTGGATAGTAAGTATAAAAATGACTTTGTTCTCTATCAAAAGGCAGAACGAAAAGCTATTTTTGTTCGTGGTTTCTATAAGATATATTTTGAATTTGCAAAACCACCGAAAATCAACGGGGAAAATGCGTGCTTATTAAGTAGTCCTTTCTTACGAAGTACAGTTTCCTTAGGAGGCTGAAAAGCGGTGTAATCAAAAGCTGACATCCTGCCAAATCCGACATATTATAGGGCTATACTGAATGATAAGCAATATTAGAATTGCGCTTAAGTAATCCTTCCTAGTCGAAAACGTAATACAGAATTTCAGCCAACATTTCATGAGATCGGCCACTCATTGTACATTAGAACTACAATTATTACGCCTTATGTGTGTGGAAGTACGACGCTCAGGAGAAGTGGGTCACATCAAGTCAACAAGCTTTTACACCGTCAACGCAGGACAGAAGCCATCTGGTGACCGTAAAACGCCACATAAAAAAGGATTGGACTCACTGGTTGCGAAGATAAGCTTTGAATTTATTCAGCATATACACTCATCAAAATTAATCACCGTGGTCCATTGGGCAGCCATAACTAACGTAAACGAGGACGAAGGAAACTTTACGACGGACGGGCTGTGTAGTCCGGTACGTTGCTCTTGCACTAGGTCTCTGACTCACTTCAGGGTGTTAATAAAAGCCTAATTTATTAAGTCAACCCTTTCGATGCCCTGAAAAGTCAAGCAAGGGGAAAAATGCTGTCAGTTCTGATCACCTGTCGAGTGATTTAGGAAAGTGTAGAAAATAATAATATTGTCATTTGGGCCGGAGCGCAGAACTATAGCCTCCAGGGCAGGTATACATATCGATTGTATTGTTGAAGGGAGTATGTTGGACATTTCTATATGGATTTTCTGCGCCAATTAGGTCAGTCTTTATCGCTTTTAGCGAGCAGTTAACTGGACCTACAGATAGCACCATGATAAGGATTAAAAAAATGGAAAAGCATACATCGGCATATGCCGATCAAGATGGGTTTATTGATGTGGACTGATGAACAGTATCCAAAAGCTGGTTGCGAGATAATAAATGCTGGATAACCTTAAAAGACTGCCGTTTACTTAAGTTATTAAGTTTTATCTAGGCAGTAAATAACTCCATGTAAGTTATTTTACGCATTTTAATTCTCTGGATTATAACCCACCTTCGAAATGCCAGCCCATTTTCCTACCACTTTGAAGACTACTGACAATGATGCGCACGATAAAAACTCGAGAAACAAATTGCGAAATATTCAATTTAAACGCGTGATGACTAATTTAAGCTCGAAACTGAGCTTCTATAAACCTGGAAAAACTAGAAACGAACCTTCCAACAACACTCATCATTGTCTCATTTCGCCTACATTACAGACTGGGCTCTGGTAAGCAACCTTTTTAAAACAGAAGAGTTACTGAAAACAGTTTTTATAAGGGCAGAAGAGTAACCGGCTAAATTTTCGTCTAATCTGACCCGTTTATTTTCTAAAGCTTATTCGTTTGGATCGTCCATGAGGGACTAGGTCGCTGAGCATCAGTTAGCTACTTTCTTTAGTATTGGTGGGTAAGTTATTTGTCTTAGTGCCGACTGATAAAAGTCTTCTTCCTCCACAGTATTAAACACAGTCCATGAGGCAACTCATGAAAGGTTATAATGGGAAGGTGGGTTGCACGAAGTGTTGATATCTTTTTTATTGTGTCTCGTTTGAGCGCAAAAGTCGACTTTCTGAATGAGAATTTGCGAAACGTTTATTGGTAGCGACTGACGTCTCCTTAAATTAGATTAAGCTCCTGTCTCCTGAGTGTCTCATGCTAATATCCCGTGTCCGTTTGCGTCTCGCAGTAGAAAACCATTAATAAAAGTATAAATTTCTGCATTAACTGCTTCCTCCAGCCGAAAATCAAACTTGCCTACGTAAACGCCAGGTGAATTCATGTCTGGAACTGCGCATTTTTAATGAACAGAGGTCAGGTTCAACTATGAATACTAGCATACGCAAACAGACGATATTTTATGCAATAATAAACAGCGAAAAAATTGGCTTGCAGTAGTTTTACTGCAACGAGATGTACGAAATATAGCCAAATATATGAGAAATACCCACGACACGGTGCCACTGTTATCTATCTTGTCGTGAACTCCGTATGTCAAGAGGAGGTATTATCAAAATTAATATAGCGAATCTCTGACGACTGGAAATGAACAAGCCATTTGAAAATGGCTCCAAAGTAAGTAGAGTAACTTTTCATTAGCTAGTAAATTCACACAGTGCGCTTGTCCACGTTCACTTTGGTTATAATTACCAAGAATATGAACGAATTTGGCCCTCACTTGTGCAAGTCCTGACAACGCCAATTTTGAAGTATGGAACTGCATATGGAAGGACCACATTTATTACAGACATCTGCTCCGTAGGAATATTTGAATTTGCCTAAAGCCGTTACTTTTAGATAACGGTAAGAAGACGACCTAGGTGATCATGTGTGGGAAGAACTTCACAGGTATCAAGATCTGTCGACGACGGATAACCCTAGCGATCGGAGAACGGCCAGCCTAGCGGCCAGCGATGGATATTTTTGCAGACAGCCCGCGTGGTCATGTCTGGCGTTCTTGTTCATGGCCCCGTTGCGTCAAGGTCACCCACCTTCGCAGTGAGCTGATCCAGGCAGGCTGGCCTGCAGTTCCTCGACCAAATTCAACTTAAATATACGTTTGTCTACAGATTCGCAGTTGCTCATGAGTCATTTGAACGCACCAGCCCGCTGCGAATGCAACACAGGCCACTTGAACACCAACTCTCGACCAATCGACACACATCCCCATTAACCTGCGAAAGCAACTGCCCCACCACTGTCTCATGTCAGGCATGACTGGACGCAGTCAACAACAGCCCCGGCTTTGCTGAAGGCCGCTGCAGCCTGTAAGGACAACTCAGGATTCAGTATATAATAAACACCCAATCTAGTAAATTCTATCTTTTGCTTACAACACGGTAATTCAAAGGCGTTATGGCAGATTTCAAATAAGTCACTTTGACCCAACTGTGAAGATTCGGCGTCTCGGAGGCCTCATTCGCGATGTCGATGAACAACATGTAGTTGATAGAATTAATAGCTTCTAAGCGATACAATCGTCAGTCCAAGTACCGTGTTCATTTTGACCAAACTGTGAAAAACTCAGTGCCTCGGTGGGATCCAGACTTACGACAGGAAGGGGATTCTCTAGTCCAGCCAACGTTTTAACCATCTGAGTTACGAGGACCCACCGGACGACGCGAGTTTAATCACGTTTGGGTCAAGTTACCCGCCCAACTTACTGCAACGTCTGGAATCCCCCAATTCTGATACAGCAAGTTGAGTACCCAAGCAGGGTTTCCTAAGAAATTCGCCTAGAATCCACTAGATGACTCGAACAAAGAGTATAATTTGGTTTTCAAAAAGTTTCTATTTGTGAGATTTTTTAAGACTGCGCAATATCCATTCACATAGCATCGTACCTGTCCGTTTACCACTGCTCCTCCTGAAATCTGCAACATAGTTCGCATCTACTGCGAAATGTTTTGGACTCAATATGGCATCTTTTTAAAGACATGGAATCGACCAGATGACTACCAGGCTAACGTAGTTCACGGTTTTTCACATTTGGGTCAAAGTGAATCATTCGAAATCTGCCTTGACATCTATGAAATATGTGAGTCTGGTGGTCATCCGGTGGATTCTAGGTGAATTTCTAGGGAAATCCTGCTTGGGCACTCGAGTTACTGTATCAGAATTGGGTGAATTCCAGACGTTGCAGTAAGTTGGGCGGGTAACTT